ACAGCCAGGGCTGAGGCCCCTCTCAGCTGGGGCTCCTCTCCAGGCTGAGCAGCCCCAGCTCCCTCAGCCTTTCCTGGGCACGGAGATGCTCCAGGCCCTTCCTCAGCTCCAGGAGCTCCTGTCCCTGCTGTGCTGAGGAGCCAGGGCTGGACACAGCAGCCCAGAGGTGCCTCCAGGGCTGGGCACAGGGGCAGCATCACCCCTGACCTGCTGGGAATGCTCATCCCGATGCTCCCCAGCACAGCACTGGCCTCCCCGACCGCTCGCCCCGGGCGGTACCCCGCTGTTCCCCGCGATCCCGGCAGGCGCTATCGCGACATACGCACCCCATCGCGATAGACCTTCCCGGCGCGCTTCACCCGCACGTCCAGCGTAGTCCCCATCGCTCCGTCACGTGACAGCGCGTCACGTGACCCCAGGGTGGGGCGCGCGGGAACCCCACCCCCTCCACATCCGGGTCCTCGCCGCCGTCACTTCCCAGCCGCTGACTCCGCTTCCCGCGCGGCCCCGCCCACTGCCCCGGTTGCCACAGCAACGCGTGGGCGGGGTGAATGACGCAACGCCGTCACCCGCGGGTAACTACAGAGCCCAGCGTGCTTTGCGCGCCGGCAGCGCCCGCTACGGGTTGGGGCGCCGCGTGGGCTGATGGGAGCTGTAGGCGGGGCCGCTGCCGCCTTACGCGACCCGCGAATGTTGCTTGTTGCGACTGTGGGGCCGCGCACGGAGTAGGGCGCTGACAATGGGAGCCCAGGAAAGGCCTCGCAGTCCTGAAATTTATCCCTCTGACTACACTGTACAGCCTCAAGCACCGATGTAAAGGCGGAGCGAACTTGTCCCTGTTCTAATTCCAGGCGGGACTCAGCGCTTTGAATTTCCAAACACGGCCCGGGCTCGGCCCCCAGAGTTTCCCGCAACAAATAAAACAATTTATTGTCCGATAAATTCTGGAAGGCAATGCCTTGCAAAGTACGCAGTGAAGAATTTCGCCTTAATGGAGTACGGAAACGCTCGCTGTGGAAATGTCCGAGTGCTGAGGGGAAATGTTTCCATCTCTTCCAGGTGTGGCCTCCGACGGAATTCCCGAGATTCCAGCGGAAGCAGGAGTTGTCCATCGGGGGAACTGGAAGTCCTGAAGAGGAAATCTCTAAAACAGGAGTCGAGTTATGAATTTTATCGCTTTTCTAAGCGATTATTTTCACCTCATTTTTCACATATTATTGAGTGAGAGTAGATTTTCCTCAGATTTACGTCATTAAAATAAACACAGCCCTGTCGGTGATGGCAGTATCTGGGAGATGGTTCTGTCCTCTTCCTCCTCACCCCTTCAGTACTGGAATCCATCCATGTCCCTTCCTCCTGCGGTGTTTATGGAAAACTTGGCAAATCCCCCCCTTATGCTCCTGTTTTGGAGAAAAAAACTGAGATATCAGAGTTGTCCCACGTTTCAGGGAAGAGAGGGAACGTGGTGATTGTAAAAAGAAAGGAGCATTTAACTGGGATCACTGGATTATTACTGGCAGGACTCAGGTAGCTAATTACTGCCATTAATTAGTGTGGAGCAGATAAAGAGGGATTTTTTTGTTTTACTTTTTAGCCCATCCATGGAGAAGTCAAAAGAGAAAAATAAAAGCCTGGACAGCACAGCTGCTCCTGAGCATGTAGATTTTTTTTGCCATCACTTTCACAATCAGCTGTTTTTCTTGGGAAACTTTTTCCAAGGTACTTCAGTTACTCATTTCTAGGAACTGGAGCCTCATGTCCAGAAAAAGCTCCTGTTGGAGCAGGCAGGAGCTGCTGCCCCTCTGCCTGGCAACACAGATCCCACAAACAAACCCAGGGAGCACCCGGGGAATCTGTGTCCAAATCCGGTCTGTAGGGTGAGAGCTCAGCACCCTCATTGTGGTTCTCTTGAAATAATGCCAGGATGGTTTGGGTTGGGAGGGACCTTAAATCCCATCCCACCCTGCCATGGCAGGGACACCTCCCACTGTCCCAGGAGCTCCCAATGTCCAGCCTGGCCTTGGGCACTGCCAGGGATCCAGGGGCAGCCCCAGCTGCTCTGGCAATTCCATCCCAGCCCCTGCCCACCCTGCCAGGGAACAATTCCTGCCCAAGATCCCATCCAGCCCTGCCCTCTGTCAATTTAAAACCACTCCCCTTGTCCTTATGAAAATTCCCATTCCAGTAACAGGATTTCTTTTGGTTGATCCAAATGATAAATTTACAGGGTATCCACCTCCCACTGAATTATTTTGGAAGATTTCAGCAAAATCAGTGAAACAGTTGAAACATCAGAGCAAAGACCAGAATTTTTGGCACTGAGCCCTCTCATTGTCATGAGCCTGCTCCCTTCATCCACTTGGAAAATCCTCCCCAAATTTGGGCAAATGGTGAGACTGACAATTTTAGGCTTTGCTTGGGAATGGGAATTCCTTCAGAAAATCAAAATTAAAGGAGAAAGGGGCTTTTCAGTGGAATATTGGTGCCCACAGCCTGGAGGTGGGAAGGGAATTCACCTGTCACTATATCTGGGCTGACAGTGATCGCCTGTCCCACACGGGGATATTTCTCTCCTTGAAGTAGTTGTTCTATTCCTCCTGCTTTCTGAGTTGAGAGTTTTTTTCTCTGTTTTGTTTGGGGATTTTTGTTTTGGTTTTTTGGGTTTTGTTTTGGTTTATTTTTTGTTTGTTGGGGTGGGTTTTTTTGTGGGGTTTCTTTGGTGCATTATTTTTTTGCTTCCTTGATCTTGTAGTTTTTGAATTTTAGGGTAGGTTTTTTTTTTGAGTTTTTTTAATAATTTTATTTACTCCACCTGCAGAGCTGCCCCAGCCCTGGGGCCCAGCCCAGGGAGCAGCTGGAGAGAGCCCAGAGGAGGCTCCAGGATGAGCAGAGGGATGGAGCAGCTCTGCTGGCAGGAAAGGCTGGCCCAGCTGCCATTGTTCAGCCTGGCCAGGAGAAGCTTTGGGCTGAGCTCAGGGTGGCCTTGCAGGGCCTGAAGGAGCCCCAGGAAAGCTGGAGAGAGACAATTGCCAAGGGCTGCAGGGCCAGGAGCCAGGGAATGGCTGCCAGTGGCAGAGGGCAGGGCTGGATCTTGGGATCTTGGGCAGGAATTGTTCCCTGGCAGGGTGGGCAGGGGCTGGGATGGAATTGCCAGAGCAGCTGGGGCTGCCCCTGGATCCCTGGCAGTGCCCAAGGCCAGGCTGGACATTGGGAGCTCCTGGGACAGTGGGAGGTGTCCCTGCCATGGCAGGGGGTGGCACTGGGTGGGCTCTGAGGTCTGTCCCAACCCAAACTATTCCAGGATTCTGGGATTGAGGAGCTCTGAATTCATGTAGAAATGTCATAGCTACTGCAATTGGACAGCTCTTAATCACTCAATTTCTATAATTGTTACTACTGTTGGTTCATGCATTGCTGTGTTCAGCTGCAAGAAAAGGATTAAATAAATGTGTTCTGATTATTCCTGAGTTTATCTTTAATGAACTGTGTAGCAGGGTACAGATTTTGCTCAAATCCATTTTGGATGTAGCTCCACTTGTGGAGTCAACCAGATCCAAACTTGACCTGGTTTTTCATTTGTTGTTTTCAAGTTTTACTGAGCCAGAACTGAATAGAAGAACTCAAATAACAAATTAACCTAAACTGAAAGCAAGGGGGAAAACTGTATGAATCTAGAATGATCCATACATTTGTTTATGTTCCTTATTATCACAGAATCCTCATGGAATGGCTTGGTTGGAAGGGACTTTTAAGATCATCCAGTTCCAAACCCCTTCCATTTTTCTACCTGATTATTTCTGGGACATCATTTAACAAATAGATTTAAATTGTTTAGAATAATCCCATTTCTATCTTTGCCTCAATCCAGAGCTGAAATGTATGGATTAATTGGTTCAGAATGACAGCATTCCTCATTTGGAATACCATAGGAAACCTGGGGCTACCCAAACTTTTTTTTTTTTTTGGCTACCCAGAACCTGTTTTTCTGTTGTTTTTTTTTTTTTTTTTATTAGTTTTGAAATCTTTGCTCTGAGGCCAGTCATGTAAAATCACAGAATGGTTTGGATTGGAAGGGATTTGACTTAAGGAATTCAATGGGAGAAGTTTTACTGTTTATGCAAAGTCAATGACAAAAAATACACTTTTAAGGAGCTCAGAGATGATTAAGTCTAATAAAAAAGTAATTTCAAATCTGGTTCATGTGTTGGACAATTTTGAGATGATTCCTATGGTTTCTATAAGCACATTTGACAAATTGTTTTTCAGAGCACCTGTGTGGAAAGGCTGTTCTTTAACACCAAGGAGGGAGGAGAAGAATGAAGTGATGCCCTGAACAACAGGAAGTAAATTGAAATCCCTTATTTTTGGTGAAGAAATCAGCAAATCCCAGCACTGCATCACACAAGTGGTGGTGTTCCTGAAAGGAGGAAGGTAATAAAAAAGAAATTAAAATCTCTGTACCACACAGAGGGACTGTACACACATTAAATCTCACCAATATTTTCTAAAACGTTTCCCCACTACACAGAAATTTCCTTTTCATTAAAAATTATGCTTTAAAGTATATAAGACTTCAAAGAACTAATGAGAAAATACTACAGAAGGCAGCAAAATAAACTTATTTATTCACACAGCAAGGTGATAAAAACTGATTGAGATGAAACAAAGCTGGGGGAACATCCAGGAAAAAAAGTCTAAATAAAGTGTTTTAATTGACAGAGGTACAGTAAAAGTAAATAACTCCATAAAATATAATATTGGTCAAGGATTTTTAAAGGTATTTAAGAATGAACTAGTTTTCCAGCCAAAATACACAGTTTTGAAGGGAATTCTCTCAGAGGAACTGTCATTAGATACTTTAAAAAAGGCTTGAACTGACTCGAAATTGCACTGAGCTTCACTTGCCACTCAGGAGAATTAGCAAATAAGGAAAAGAATGTAATGAAATGTGTAGAGATGACAAAAACAGTGGATAAAACAAAGCAAGTGGTTTAGATACAAAAAAAAAATATATATATTGCAAGAATTTGGCAGGGAAAGAAAATAATATCCTGAATATCCTGAATAAAAAGTACTTAGGAATCAGAAAAGAAATTAAAGAAATAAATAATTAGGTATTAATTAGGTAATTTTTCCTAGTTAAAGGTTTTTACTGGATGTTGTGAGATTCTGAATGATGATGGGCAAGTTGATATCTTTAAAAATGTTGTGAAAAAAAAACCTTTTTACAAAATAGTGAATTTTGCAGGCACGTGTGTGAGAACTGATGGATATGGAGGAATTGTTTGGGAATTTGGAAAATAACCTATGGCAGGATACAGGTATGGAGAATAAAACCCCAAATAAATACAAAATAAATGCACATTCCAACGAAAACTTGTAAATTCTGCCAGCAGCAATGAATTGTAGTA